CCATCGACGACCATTAAAGTGGCCCGTAAAAAACTGTCACATTTCTCGCCACAGATGGCGCCTGAGATTAGGCCCGGCCGGTGACCGTTCCGACAAGGGGGTCTAATTAAAGAAGACACGGCGGGTCGTTAAAAAATGCGACGGGGCTTGGCAGGTTTTCGAGGGAATGTAGAAAATGCGCGCCGTGCGATATTGTTCCTATGGCAACTATTGCCCAGTCAAAACACTGGCTTATCGACGAACCGTACGGGCGCAGGGCCGTACTGGCTCGATAGCGAAGGGAAATTTTCCATTTTGTAATAAAATATCAAATATAATTTTTATCATTGTTATTATTGTTCTCATGCTGAGTAAAACGGTTGATTTAGAATTTGTAGGAAGTTATTATCCTTAAGAAAATTTAATATTCCTATGCCAATGATTTGTTTGGACTTACTGGCCTGGAATTACTTTGCGGTTAAAAATAGTTTTGTCGGAGGATAAAACCGAGGCAGAGAAGTGTTGGCATCGCAGTATTTTGTTTGCATTCGCCATATGCCAATAGCATATCGACCAATTTATAATTATTGTAATTATGATCCACGGTAATGAAATAGTAACTATTAACAAAAATAGCATTCGATTATTACAATATTACGCATTCTAGACCAATACAAAACACAAGAGACTTTTAGACGCACAAATATAACAGTTAAGAAGCAACTAATTTTACCGCGAGCAGTAAATTCATGCCGAGGCAAAAAAAAACAGCTAACAAAATATTCAGATCGGGGTTTTTCTATCACTTCCACTGTCTGCACAGGTGCAGAGATGCACCTGTTTATTTCACAAATGTGTCAATGTTTGGTTTGACAATTAAACATTTTCAAAAATCTTGTTTTGGGAGAAATCGGCGCGGTCCGGTCCTGCGCCGCGAAATAGGAGGAAGTTAAAGGAATCGGTCGCCGCGCGCCGCATTTTGATGGTTTATTATTCAGGGAATTTAATAAAATGCAATTTTATGTGAATGCTAAGTAACCCTGAGGAATGCACTCGCATGACACATTACATAAAGAGCCGAGGGAAAAAGCTTTCGCGACATAATAAGCGACCGCGTAATAATTAACAATGCCTTAATTGTGTGCGTTCTCACATCCATATTAGTTGGGAACCTTTCTAGGCGGCCGATTTAGGAAAAAAATCTCATTGTTTTAGGAAGAAACAAGTGAATGTCGGCTCATATTTGCATAAAACTCGACGCGTTTTATATAATCGCTGTTAAACCAACTGTACCAAGTGGCTCAAGAAAACAGTGTTTTGGATATATGTCCTTGTCGTTTCCTAGTTTTCAGATTAAAGTTTCTGACATAAAATTTAAATTTTCCAATTTTTCATTAATTTTTTGGTGTCCATAAATTTAATACAAGAAGAAACGTTTTTTTTTCTTGAATATATTCTAGTAGTACAGCGCTGTTATTGTTTAAGATACAAAATAATATTAAAAGTTGGAGATCAAAAAGATAATTAAAATATTTCAAACATATAGAACGATGTATCAAAATCCATATAATGATGTAAATAGTTTGAACCAACATTTTTGATGAAATGAAAGGTTTGTTTTATACAGGGTGTTCTCTATAGTGCATATATACAACAAATACAAAAATTACTACACTTGACATTGTATTTGAAATTTTGAAATTTCACAATACATATTTTAATCTATTTCTTTATGTCTTATATGATGTCAAAGTTAAAAAAGAGAAAGCAGTTGTCCCGTATTTAATTTTCTAATATAATTGAAATATTGGAAGATACCACATTATCTGTGGCTGATACAATGCCATTAAAATTAAATCCTTATAGCGCCAAGCCTAGTTTAATTATTTAAATTAATATTCCATTATTTCAGAGAAAGGGAATAATTGATTAAATTTTACTAATGTAAAATTGAATTTCAATAGTTTCTGTCATGTTGATTTTAATATTGTTTTTTTTTTAATATGTAGGTTTTATTTCCGTTCTACACCCTCCTGTTCTGTAATTGAGTGAAAACCCATTGAATAAATGGCTTTCGAAATGAATAAAAAAATTAAATTCACTTTGAGAATGTTTGTAATTTGTCAGTCATAATTTAAATCTTGCTTTGAATGCCTTGGCACCTGACATAACGACATCTATAAGATCCAGGCGGTAGATTTCACAACTAAATCCTCTGGTCATTATCGACCACTTCTTCAGATACATCTGGTTTAGGATGGCTAATTTACACAGGTGTCTAATGCCTACACTTGACATAACAGCGAAGTCTACTAAATCCTGGTGGCAAAACTTCGAACTAAACTTTCTGATCATTGTTGCTGCTACTTCTTCAAATCAATTCCAAGAATTGTTCGGCAACCTTCAATGAACCCTCCTATTCTTTGCTCACTTCTGGATGGAAATGCCATCGAAGTGTCATAGAGTTCCACTAGCTATACCTACTACTGACACCAATGGACGATTTGAAAATTGTGACTGGTATAAATTTAGATTTTATACGAAATGTTCCATACTTTCTTCAAAAAAATCGATTCTCTTGTACGAATGAATATTTTAATGAATCTTAGTAAAGTTTAATAAGTACATAATCTTTTTACAGCGTATCTTAAAGTTGAGAAAAATATTTTTTCTTTCCCCTGTACTCTTCAAACTGTATTTCTATTTAACAAACTCAAAGCATGGATGTAAAAATTGTAAATTGTGTCTGCAACTTGCACAAAAAACATCATAACATCTTAGAAAACAAATTGTCGTGTCGAACTTCGATATTTTTCATGGTTCGAATTTTAAGTCAGTGTGTTACACGTTTTCGGACCTGTATTTGCGCGTAACAACTTTAATGAATACGCTTTTTAAGAGTCTTGGGCTTTCTTGGGCCACTTGGTACATCTTACGACCCGAGCGGCGTATCCGTAATGTTGCGTCGTTGCTATTAACATTTTCTCCCATTGAAATTGTTGAAGCAAGGTTATCGCGACAGCGAAAAAGACCTGCTTACCTGCCAGTAGTTTTCCTAAATGTCCGTTTTTTACTCTGATGTCCCGTTTTGATTACATAAAACGCTAATGGATTCCAATTTTTAAGATTTATTGTTATTTTCGCAACGTTTCGCCACGAGGCCTTGGACGGCTTAAAGCGAAAAATTGCGTAATTAATGTCGCCTATTTACAATAATTAATATAATAATAACGTAAGTGTATTTTATAGGCAAATAGTGTTTCACGGTGCAATGCGCTCCGGTCTGCTCCGGTCGCTTGCTGTAAAATGTGTACGAAATCGTTTCTCGTTGGTTGCAGAAGAAAAGCTCAAAAGAAAACAAATTTGTTCAAGTCTTAAATTATTCATCTTCGCAGGTATTTGTATTTTTACCATCAAATTCTACGTTGAGAAAACAAATAGGGTTGAATTTATGTATAGTCTTTCTGATCTCGATTGAAGACCAAACAGCTAGGCAGTATGTACCAGGTTCGGCAACTCGGCATTGAAATATTTGAAAAACTTGTTCCTATATTTATTTAGCCATACCTATATACAGGTCTGATCGAACTAAACGTGGAGGTGGTAGAAATGTATACGCCCAGTTGATAAATGCGCGCGCGGGCAAACGGCGTACAAACACAGCTGCACTGGGCGACTGGGCCATAAATTTCAGTTGTTGACAAATTGCCTAGCAGTGCAGTGCAGCAGTGCGGAATTTGGTGTGATTCAGGTAATTTTGCACCTGCACCTTCACCTTCTATTAACCATTCATATTACAACTGCAATATTTTGTTTACTAATATTATTACATGGCATTTTGGAGACCTTTTGAAACGGAACAAAACGAAATACCGCCAGACAATATTGAATTAGTAGAACCGATTATTGTAGAACAGATTTAGAATTTAAAAATAAAGATTTACATGTTCAATGTCAGCGTCTCGTTTTAAATATTTACGATTATTTAAAAAAGGCAGAAAATGAAAAATCAGATAATGCAAAATTATAAATAGAATTCACATATTAACTAAAATTTCAATGTCCACAATTTTCCGTATTATTAAAAAAGGTGTTATAGATCATTGCGTAAACAGGAAGCTAAAAATTTGAAAATATCAATGACATGACAATTCAGCCGCCAATTTATAATTTATATAAAGAAAATGTTGTTGGCCAAATGAACATAAAATAGAAATTTTCTACACATTATATACAAATAATAATTTTTTACTTTTAGCAGAAAACTTTTTTAGGGACGTCTATGAAACTCATTAAATTTTATTGCTAGGCATTTTTATACGTGTTCAACTGACTTGGGAAAGACTTTTAACAATTTATTCTTTGAAATATTGCGATTACATCGATAAAAGCCAACTTAAAAAAGGGTTTATCCTTCATAATTTGTTGTACCTATAAAATGGAACTACTTTGTGAACATAAAGTTACATTTGAATTTTGTTCATAAAATGAAGAATTCTAATTATCCCCATTACATGACAGGAAGTTCTCAAACACTAAGTATAAGGAATGTTAACATTTTTTTTCGAATACACTTCTGAAAATATATTTCGAGTGGTTGCTACTTTGATACTTAATTGAGAAAGGCACCACAAGTTTATGCGACAGCTGTACTGCATAGTCACCCCCCGTTGTTGGGCTACCGCTCCCCTATTTCGCATTAAATTAGGGTAAATGTGACGAAAAATGCGGTTCATTTATTTCGAGAATACGGAAAGTCCCTCTGTCGCGGCATCGGGAGAAGCCAGAACACGTGCCAGCCGTACAAAATCAACCGAAACATCTGACGGGGGTTCCAAATTTATTGATCGGGGGATGTAAGTTGCAGGAAATGTTCTTCTTTCCCAAATGTAAGAATCCAAGCTCATATTAAAACTAGCCATTTTTTAACTGAGTTTTCAACCTAGAACAGAAAAAAATGACTTCCATTTGTTGGAGGGAGTGTGTACAAGAAAATTAACAATTTTTTATCTTTGTTACAGTTGGGGTTTTTCACATATTACTCCGTAAGCACAGGAGAATTAAATCCAGCTGGTCCAGTACCAATAGACTCTATATTCATATATAGACCAGACAAAAGGACTGAGATATGGAGGTTCATGTTGTACATGATGTTACATGCAGGGTAAGTTCGGTTTTTTTATTAAGATTTAATTTTATTTGACTTTAACAGCGACACGTTATCTCCATTTAAATCACACTTAAATAATACAGTACAACGTTTTATATAATGGGTTTGTATCAAATAATTACTTCACAACTTCAGGTGTCCCTCAGGGCTCAAACCTTGGACTTTTATTATTTCTAATTTTTATTAACGATATTTGTCAAGTCGTTGATTGTAGTAAGCTGTTATTTAGATAACTGCTTAATATTACAGAAGTCTTTAACCAATTTGCAGACTTGGTGTTCAAAAAACAATTGTACCTATTTAAATTGTTCTACAAACACAATAGTAGTTAATAATTATCAAAAATATAAAAACATAATCCGGCTAAATATTATCAATGGAATAACAAATGTCTGATATATTGAAATCATTAAATAATGTTGCAAACCTTCAAATAAATTATGTCCTATTTTTAATCTAATATAACTTTACTTCGAACAAAAACCATACAAAGTTCAACCACGAATTAATTTTATTTTGACAGACTTAATTTATTATCTGTCAATATTCAGATATACAGGGTGATTCAGTCATAATATAATTAATTTTAAGAGAAGATAGGGAAAAATGAGTAGAATATGAATACGCGATTAGAAAAAATTAAAATTCATATTTGGGGCCGCTCTTGACAGCTCACTGTAAAAGGTTTATCAAGAATGAATCTTGACTTACTAAAATATGCGGTCATTAACCTAGGTTTTAATGCCTATTTAATCCATAGGGAACTACATCGAATAAACAGAGCTTTTTAGTTCGACACATGAATGAATAAGATATCTTTTACGTTTTAAATATTATCAAGTATTATTTATTTGTTAAGAAACACAAATGTATAAGGATAACACAGCCCCACAAAAAAAAAAAAGTGTTCGGACTTGTGGGTCGGACATATATATTCCCATGTATTTTTCGACGCTGAATCCGATCCCGAGCTCAGAAATGGCCCTCCATGTCTGGAATTGGCCCCAGGGGCCAAAAATGGCCTCTATAGGGTATGAAAGATGGATTCCGGAATATGGTGAGGTCGAAGGTGCATTTTAAAGCCAAACCCGGATTTGTGGTCGAAAAGTTTATGGCCAACTGAAATTTTCTGTTTGGGACCGGGAAAATGACCCCTTAGGGGCCGGAAAATCGTGTTTCGGACGTCGCAATCGCAACACAGCCCCACAAAAAAAAAGTGTTCGGACTTGTGGGTCGGACATATGTATTCCCATGTATTTTTCGACGCTGAATCCGATCCCGAGCTCAGAAATGGCCCTCCACGTCTGGAATTGGCCCCAGGGGCCAAAAATGGCCTCTATAGGGCCTGAAAGATGGATTCCGGGATGAGGCGAGGTCGAAGGTGCATTCTAAAGCCAAAGCCGGATTTGTGGTCGAAAAGTTTATGGCCAACTGAAATTCCCCGTTTGGGACCGGGAAAATGACCCCTTAGGGGCCGGAAAATCGTGTTTCGGACGTCGCAATCGCAACAGTGGTGTTAAATGGTTTTTAAATTCTGGAATTCGAGCACAGTTTGAGTTCCAGAATTTAAAAGTACATAAAAATACCACTGTTGCGATTGCGACGTCCGAAACACGATTTTCAGGCCCCTAAGGGGTCATTTTCCCGGTCCCAAACGGGAAATTTCAGTTGGCCATAAACTTTTCGACCACAAATCCGGCTTTGGCTTTAGAATGCACCTTCGACCTCGCCTCATCCCGGAATCCATCTTTCAGGCCCTATAGAGGCCATTTTTGGCCCCTGCGCCAATTCCAGACGTGGAGGGCCATTTCTGAGCTCGGGATCGGATTCAGCGTCAAAAAATACATGGGAATACATATGTCCGACCCACAAGTCCGAACACTTTTTTTTTGTGGGGCTGTGTAATAATTGTTTTCGAATGTTGGGTTATACAATTTAATATTTTTAATATCTATTTAAAATGATAGTTCAGCTAAAAAACATTCATCCGTAGTACTTTCTTAATGAAGTTTCAGGATCCGTTGTACTTTGATTTTAAAAGCAATTGCAAAATTCTAGACGACTGGGGAAATTAGCTGTTTCGCTTCAACATTCGAACGCTATATAGTCCACCGGCGCCGTGTTGGGCGCCAAATTAACGGGAGTTAAGTGGTTATTTGCTTATTTTTTAACAGGTCGAATAATTTTTTTTTCGATTTTCTGTATTTATTAGGCCTTTTGGATACGTGGTTAAAGTTAATAACATTATGACTGAATCGCCCTGTATATTAATTTCATTTTTAATAGGAGCAATTCTTAAAATGTATAAATGATTTAATTAATTAATGGCACCTATTGAACAATTTCGTTGGGTGTTTTCACATTATATTTGTTTTTTATTGTCGCATAAGCTATTTCGCGTCGTACCTGACGAAAAAACCGTGTACCCCGCGTGCTTGCGTCTCTTTGTATATTCAAAGCACCGAGCATGAATAAATAACGTCTGTCCCAGTTCCTTCCTAGATATTAGCAGATGACTCATAGACTTATTCGGATAGACATTGTTTACGTTATCGTATGGAGATGGTAGCGATGGATATACTAGACGAAATCCACAAAAATATCTTTCCGCTTTTTTGTATACTCGACATAAATAACAAATTTATGAAACGTTGAAGGCGTTAGGTCTGTCTCTAAATTAAAAGATATACAGGGCGTTACATTTAAAATTCCCCATTCCGATATCTAAAAAAATAAAAAGACTTGTAAAGAGTTGTCTGGTTGGTATGAATGACTTCAATTCTGAGTACAAACGAAATTTCGGTTTGTATAATAATAATACAAAACAATCTTTAATAAACTTAGAGCGCAAAACAGTGTTTTCAATATAATATAATATGAAATACATCTGAATTGACAAGTGTCCTCTGAGTATGCGTCTTACTGACGGGAATTTTAATGATAATCACATTGTCTTTATCTTCTATATTATGTACCTTCATATTTAGTAACCTTTTTCTTCTACAAACCACGTGAATGTCCATTATTTAAAACAACCTAACAAAAAATATCGTACTTACAGAGAATAATTCGTCCTTTTATAGAGTAACTTGCGTTACTTTCATTAACAAGAAATGTTCATCAGAAGGTTCTTGTACAAATGTCTCGATTTCTACTTTCGTCAAAAGACTTCTTTGGACGATATCCAACCGACTTACTTTTCAAGTAGATCACCAGTTTTGCGACTCATTTTATAATAATATTTTCTTGGATATTCAGGGTACTTTTTACTATAGAGTAAATTGACTATAATGTTGCAGGTTTCACTTTCACGACCTTGTATTCAAAATAAGCCAGTAAAGTATTTTCAGATGTTTTCTTAATTTTTTGTCTTCAGTACTTCAAGATACAAATATTCTAATATTCTTTATTACATGAAAAATCCATTTTACTTTCACAATTTAATTGTATTGATTGAATAAACATAATTTTTTCTTTACTCTATTACTTGCGCCATCAGCTCGCAAAAAATCTCAATACCAAAAAAAAACTAAAGGGATACTTTACGACCTAGAATAACAAATTTTGTACAATTTATGTTTCAATTATAAGAAATCGTTATTTCAAAGCAAGTTCGATGAAATGCTTATTTACGAATTAACCAAAACGATACCTATAACCTAAAACTGATTTTAAAAAAGTTGTAATTTTGCATTAAAAAAATCTTTTAGTGTGAGTTATCTTGGAAAGCAGTGGTTATTCGAAAATATTTTATACCTAATGTACGTGCACAAGTTTTTGCCATGGAAAAAATTCCTTTGATCACTGCACCATCTACAGGGTGTATCACGAAAAGGGCCCAGTAGGATTATCTCAAAAAGTAGTCAAAATTGAAATCTGAAAATTTGCATGCAGGGGTTTATAAAAAGATCTAGTCAATGAAAATAGTGTCAACTTTCTCGCACTCATCAACTATGTTATTTCAAAGTCATCATCAGCTATGGTATTTCAAATGGAACACTGTATATTTTTGCATTTTTTAATTCTTGGTGAAATCTAGACTAATTTCATATAAGGTACTATAGGTCAAAATGTGACAGTTTTCAAGTTATCAATTTTCGAAAAAAAATGAGAGATGCAAGTGATTTTTGAAAACAGAATAACTCCTTCATTTAGCTTTATTTATTAATGAAATTTTGCATGAATAATTTAAAAGCAATGGAATTCAACCAAGTTGATGTCAAATTAGCAAAAATTCATACAGAATGTTTAAGAACATGTGACCATTATTGTGACGTTAAAAGTTGAATTTACTCGAATATTTCAAATGGTACAACCTATATATTATAACATTAATGTATGCACAGTTAAAATTACTTTAAAATGATACTATAGTTCCCTATACTCAAAGTTAACAGTACTTGTGTTAATTGGAAATTATTGATTTCAACGCAGAAAAATGTACGGTGGACTTGATGCACTAAAGAATTGAATAATAAACGGTGTATGATTAATGAACTGTAATTTTTATTATCGTTATACCTTCATCAAAAACAATAATTCAGTATATTAAATTAAAAAGGGCGATGCTTTAAATAAACCCACCACACTCGTAGATTTTTCTGTGTTGAAATCAATAATTTCCAATAACGATATACAGTGAGGTGTATTATATATTTTTGTACCTGTCTGCTTTTGTCAGTTAGATTTTTGGTTAGGTAAAACTATTTTCGTAAAAATAACTCATATACTTATTAATTGTTTCAAAGGTAGCAAAATAAATACCTACCTATGAATAGGAAAATCTTTCAAGAAATGATAAAACTTGTCAAAATGAGAAAAAAAGTTCATTTTACTTAAAAAAATACACGTAATTTGTTGAAAAAATATTATTTCTTCACTAATATACCCAATTTCTAAAAGGAAAAAGTCTTGAGGACTGAAAGTATCTTTGTATACGCTGTCGAGAATTTTTTTTTTAAATGTTACTTTTACTGGCTTAAAAATTAGTAAAACTTATAACATATTTGCCGATTGACATAGTACCTAGTTAGCCCTGTCGAATTGACTGTTTTTTCATTTATTTTAAATTGTTTTTTAATGAAACAGCTTTTAAGGATTGTGCATTTGTAAGTTGTGCTTTGTTTTTGTTATAGTAACCAGTACCTACTTGAGTAGTATTGATATTTTGAAAATCATTTGATTAATGTTTAGTAAGGAATTATCTGTGGTAAAAAAAATGTTTCTTGGTCGACTTCTGGGTTTACAGATTTCGAAGCAGGGGATAATGTAAGAAATTATAAGAACTACCATAAATCAATCACCCTAGGCTAGCTCAAAGATAGCGCCCAAAAAATTCGATTTGTGCAAATAACTTGTTGTTCCCAACATAAAGCCCAATATAAAAAAAAGATGCAGTACTTTTTAAATGCCGGATAATAAACTCTAATTCTTTATTATATCCTATCTAGTTCATTAATTTTAAATGTTCATGTACTGTACTCAAAGTACATAGTCATTGTTTTATTTCAATAAATTTATGTTATTTATTTATTTATTGATTTATTTATTAGCCTTTTAGAGGTTAACAAGTATTCATGAAATTTCAATTTCATAGTACTTCAGGCAATCAAATTTTGCAACTGCCATTTTTAACTTTTAGAACTAACTTTTTTTTTTAAGAACTGCCTTTTCGGTTAGAACTAACCCTTAGATTATGCACTGTTTCGAAGGTTGATTAATTCACCCATGGAGTTTATAAGCTACTTGGAACGAATTCGCTTCTCTAGCATCAAACTGTCATCTATAATAATGCAGCATTTTTCGGTATTGATGTCATCGGGCATTTGCACGTAAATATTCCTAACACGGAGCGAGTAAATTAATATTTCCCCCGTATTATGTTTATCTCATCTATGAAATTAAACCATATCACTGTGATCTATTTGTCTAATAAAATAAGTGTCCGGCAGCCTTCGTTGGAATTAGGTCCCATTATTTAATAAAATTTCTCCCAGTTTAAAGGCAGGAAGCTGCCCATGATTATTTAATAGCAGGATGGTCCCGCTGTTACGCAATTCCCAGGAATAGCCCGATGACTATTCCTCCGTTAGTGGTTTTTTACCGAAACTATTGGAATATCTTCCGTCTACACTTTCTAATTACCTACCTCCAAACAAACAATACGGGGCGGCTGGCTTGAAGAAAGTATTCCACGACCGTCGTAAAGTAGACCGTTTTTATGGCGTGGGTATTTTTACATAAGCAGAGTACACAAATTTGTTTTGTGTGTTTGTTTTCGACAGCGCGGCTCGCGCTGCCGAAAAAGAGAAATATCTGCCGAAAGCGGCAGTTAATTCGTTTTATAACGCCTGGAAGTAGATCGACTGTAACAGCGTTAAAACGCCGTAAAAAGTTATTAAAATTAGATATTCGCGGTTTTGGGATAATGCATTAAGCCTCACTTTTACCATCACTTAATTCAATTCTGTACGATGGTGTTTTCTCAAGCCACACTCTGGTTTTTCTCAGACTTTTATTAATAGCCCAACTTTTCTTGTTCGGTGTAGTTACATAATCCGGTATTGTTATATTGTTGCAGCCGATAATCAACTTGTTAGTCTCATTATCATAACTTCAAAAAGATTAAATACGTTTATAATTATTTACAATGAGTTTTGTTTTTTAATTGCACGTCTAAATACCGTAAAATGGCTTTTGCTGGTCATCATTTTTTCAGTAACTTTCATAATTCACTTATCTATCTAAACAACGTATTATATTACGAATAATTTCTTACCACACTATATAACGATATACTGTTTACATGATTTTTTATGAAAATTCTAATGTTTTAAAGTTGATGTACAGTATGATTCCCTATACTTTGCACCCCACCTGCCGTTAGTTTTGAAAAGAAAAAATTGTATTGACCGTTATTTGCACTGCCAAATTAATAACAAAGTACACCATAATTCTAAATTATTATGCTATTTATTTATTTTATTTTAAAGTGTGATGCAACATTCTTGGAGTCAATCTTATTGAATAAAGGACACGTACATATATTAAAATTTTTGATTCCATCATCAAAGTCTATATGACAAAGTCCATCGGAAATGGACGTGAAATGTAAAGGTGCGTGCACCAGAGTTCATGAACAGCTCGCGATTACAAAATAGCCTGTTCCTAAAATATTTAAAATTGCTGCAGCCGTAAGTACATTAGAATCTTTATTTCACGTCGAGCTCTCCAAAACATGTCGCGAACAGTCTACGAAATTTTGCAATTACTGTTGTTTACCAGTATTCTACGTTTACCGGTAAATGAATGTCATCGTTCTAAACGGATCAAATTCTTGTTTGTGCTGTCTAAATTGTTCAGAGCGATGTCTAAACATCAGCTAGATCGTCCACGGAACTGACAATAAAGCTGACAAAGCTCCATAAAACTTACTTTTCCGATATAACTTCCTTTTCCCGATATTTTCCTATAAGCATTACACCTTTTTCATCTTTCACTTCATAAACGGGACAATTATGACAAATTTAACGTGAACATTTCAATTTACACCAAACAGATATTCGGGAATATACCTTTTGAAATTACCAACAGTCGACGCAATTTTAGCCAGCTCGACGTAAAATAGACTGCTGGGTGATCGTGAACAGTTCGCGAGCACAAAAATTCGTTTTGTAGATGCCAAGTGCTTGCAAACGGGCTTGTAACTGCGTACGAACTGTTCGTGATACGTTTACCGATAAATACACGCCGTAACAATTCATTAGAAGAATCATTAAGAGGGTCCATCTAAGTCTTGACATTGAAGGTTAGGTTGACTGCGGCTAGAAGACAGTTGATGCAGTCAAATATAAAAACGCGCGCCACGAAAAGAGTTAATTTATTACTTATGCGTAATTTATCTTATTTCGTCGATCGCGATGTTCCTGATTGTGTGACAAGCCGCAATATCTAGTAACTTAAAATTGGAATAGCTCTATTACCCTGCGGAACGTTTTTACCGTTTCTTGTACCAGGTGTATTTTGACAGTTTTATGACTAGTGATCGAAGACATGTTACAGTTATTACAAACACTGAAACTGAATGATGAGATCCAAGAGACAGACAAAAGATCTTTGAATGTAATGTAGTGTTATTCATTTCAGAGCTGCTGTCAAGAAAATTGTTTGTTGGAATTTAACTCTTCTCTGTTTTTAATAAATATTATATATTTTATATTTCTTATAAGTTTCTCTAAATTTTTCTCATTTTGATTTCAGATGGTTACATCTGGGCTTCAATCTGGTTGTCCAACTGCTGGTAGGCCTCCCCCTGGAGATGGTCCACGGCTCCGGCCGGGTGGCCCTCATCTACATGGCCGGTGTGGTGGCCGGATCACTGGGCACCTCGGTGTTCGATCCCTACGTCTACCTCGTGGGTGCCTCGGGCGGGGTGTACGCCCTCCTTGCGGCCCACCTAGCCAACGTGCTGCTGAACTACAATAACATGCAGTGTGGCATCTTAAGACTGTTTGGAATTTTTGCAATCGGTGAGTACCTTGAACGTGTAACATGAAAAAATACATCCTGTCGCTCTGAGTTACATTTCACAATTCTTTTGAATAATTTTCAGATTAAATCAAAATATTAGTCCTGCTTCAATGTGCATGCCCAAAAAGAGCTACAAGTAGATATTTTTACTAGTTATTACTAATCTTGTCTTAGTATTATTATTTCTTGTCATTCAAGTGAAAAAGTTTGTAGCTCATAAGAGCATCATTAGCAGCTACAGCTTCTTTCATCAATTTTTTATGTTCAGTGTAACATTGACTGAAAAGTGTATTCTTCCTTTAGTGACTAATGCTTTTTGTTGCAGCATCGTGTGATGTAGGATATGCAGTATATTCGAGATACGCCGAAGAAGTCATGGGCCCCCCTGTGTCATACGTGGCCCACCTAACGGGCGCTCTGGCGGGCCTAACCATAGGCCTGTTGGTGCTGAAAAATTTCGAGCAGAAGCTGCACGAGCAGCTCCTCTGGTGGATAGCCCTGGGAGTGTACGCGGCCTGCACCATTTTCGCCATCCTCTTCAACATCATGAACCCCACGGAGGATGCGGTGCTGGAGAACCAGGGGGATGGCGTCAACAGTCAATACGTGTTATACAATAGGTTTTGGGTATAGCCCTAATTGTTAAATAATTGTTCGTCTGGTTTCTGTAAATAAGTTTAACCGTTTTTGTACTGATTTTTCTATGAAGGTGGATCATCGCGTAGTAGGAATTTCCATTTTGCATTCTTGAGTATTTTCCGGTGTAGTTTTTGTTTTTAAGAGTGAGAGAGAGTGAGGGGGAGAGAATGCGTAAGAAATAGTCAAGGATACAAGCACAGTAACACTTGTATATATCATGTGTATATAATTTATATTTATTTGATATTTATACCAAAGACTGAGATGAATAAATTTTTGTATGGTTTATTTATATTAGTTTAGAAATTGTTGTCAATGCATTTAGTTTACTTTGGCGCGAACGAATCCGCAACAAAGCGCCACTCGAGTTCCTATTTTCGTTCTATCCCGTCCTGTGAATATATTTATATAGCATTTTTTTTACTCGTTTACCACTTACCACACTCCATTTTCGCAATAATTCCATACACTGTTGACAATAATTTCTATTATTTAAGTTGGAAAACCTTTGTAGTTCTTGTAGTTGGACTTGGACCGGGAAAACGTCACATTGACGCCTCAAGGACGTCGCACGTGAGGTTATGTAAGCGTCGACGTCGTTTTCCCGGGACGGGCTACGGGGTCTTTACTTACACATGAAGAGTTGTAAGTAAAGGGCGCAGATTATGTTTCCGAGTGATATTATAACTAGTCATAAAGATAAAAAAAAAATAAGGAAAGCCTACCAAAGAAAGTGCTAGTTGATAATTATATTTACACGAAAACTCCACACGCATCGCCTTACAACGGTAGACAATTCGCACATATTCTGTCACAAAGAAATTGTATTTTTTTACACTCAGGTAGATACACTGATATTGAATTATGAAAGTGTAAGCTGTAACTGTTTAAACCATTACCATTATTCCATTTTTGTTATTTCCAATTATTTAAACATTGTCTGTTATGAACTGCCTAAGCAACATTATGAAAAACTAGAAAATAAAATAGTTACATTTTAAATGGGTCTTTTATTTCCATCTACAGGGTGGTGCAATATTCCATAGAACCAACAAAATTATACAAATGATTTTCTGCCGAAAAATGTAAAAAAAGTTTATATAAACCTTACTTCAGCAAAAGTGTATCTTTCAGCGTGAAAAAGATTTTGTATTTTTCTAGTGAATTCATCGATAATATTATTTTTATTACAATTTTTTTTTAAGTTGGCATTAAAGTAAAGTAAAATACAGGAAGAGCTAATAAAAATAAAATACAATTTTACACAAAAAGTAAAAAAAAATATACAAAACAAATCACGAAATCAGAAAATACAATAGTGAATCTAATTGACCTCGCACCGAAAAGATTTGGTGTCACTGCAGGTTATATTTCCAAGGGTAATTTGTACATTCCATATATTATTACCTTTGATAGCCTGTAAAATAAATGAGAATATGAACCTTATTTCAGCAAACTTGTGATTTTTGAGATACAGGATTAAAATAGATTATTCTAAATAGCCTACATAACTAAAAAATATACAATTACTGTATATATGGCAAAAGAACGGATTGATACTGTCGCATTCGAAAATTCACCACGCTTTTCAATCGGAAAAACAGAGCCGGAAAAATCCACACGGCACGGAAATGGAAGCGCTGCCACAGATCGATGCTGCACACAGTTTCAAGCAGTCAAAAACACTCCATCGCAGCTGCCCATATCCCCAAAGACGTGAAACAAGGGCGACGAAGCTGTTCCAGGTTCGATGTTCGGAGGTCAGAAATTCTCAAAATTCAACGAACCTATATAGAGGCCAATCCAGAAGGATGTTACGTTTCAGACGTTTGAAAATGGTCAGAACGGCAGAGCCTAGCAGTGGGAATGGTGCCGTAAAAATCCAAACCGCGTAAGAGAATCTCTAAGAGATGCCCCTACCTGTGATCGAACGTCGACCCTAAACATCGACAGATTTATAACTAGTGTACAGATACCTGGAAAGAGTTTGTACTCACTCTAAATTAATGTTTTTTTTTTGTAATCTGTCTAATTATTGACCATATTATTGAATTATTAATCCAAAATAATAAATAAAATATATTTTCATTTTCTAAATAACATTCTTAAAAAATGAGCTCATAACTCGAATAGCTCTTTAAGCTGCTCGCCTAGGTCTGTCCTACCTATGGCATAGACAGAGCATAGACCCCATAGACCTTATAAACTACTACTAGATCAATGATAGACCCTCATAACCCAGCTCTTAAGTTGCCATACACAACAGATCTAAAGCTGCTATACACTACAAGGCGCAGTGAACAAAACTAATCAAGCTTGCAGGTATCCACGGTGACCTCATTTATAAACTATAGTGCCTAGCCACCACATAAAAGGACAGTGATACTGATCAAAACACTAGAGTTGCACGAAACTTAATTTGTACAGGACATAGCTAATACGATGCATGCGAAACATGGCCTTAAGGCCTAAATGTTAAAAATGTTGTCACCGCCGTTCTTGGTGATGAAAATTCGAAATTTTGGAATTATTCAAATCTCGTAGTTGAAAACATACATAGCTATTGTATTTTTGAAACCGAGATATTTACACGAAACTAAATTTGTACAGGTCATAGCTAAATATGATGCGAAACATCGCCTTAATGTTAAAATTAAAAATGTTGTCACCGCCGGACGTGGCGCAGCTCAACCTGATGCGCCAACGCCCGAAAACCAGTCAAAGTCGAATCATAGTCCACGACTCCTCATCAAGAAATGGTAATAAATGCAAAGAGAAATACAATAAAATTAAAAATATATACAGGGTGGTTCACAACTTATCCAACAAAATTTGGTAATAGATGCAGCATGAGAAATGGAATCAACATCGTAAAAAAATTTTTTGTAAAATCCTTATAGTTTTCGAGACAAAAAATATTGAAGTTATAGTACGTTCAACCACTACATAGCTGGACAACTGTAGTCTCTAGCATCATTCGCCACATGGCCTCAGCGACTCCGAATACTGAATTCGGATTTAGCAATCGTCGTTGCGATACTTACCTGTTATCTGAGTCGTTTACAATAGGTTTTTAGTGGTTAGTGTCAAAAATGGGTAGTTATTAGTGACAAAAATGGTTTGCGTGTACTCGGAGTTGATGGATATCGTTTTAAATTATAGTGAAGCATTTGTGTTATGGTGAAACAAGACAACATTTGTGTTAGTTCGTTGAAACTGAGTACAACGGACCCAAATGTGTTTACACATAGGTGGATAAAATTTTGAACAATGTTGTAACATCGGGTATGTCAAATGATTTTATTATTTAAAAACACAAATTAATTTTATTAATTAATAAAGGCAAAAGCAGTTTAATTTGCCGATATAAAATAGGGCGATAAAATTGTATTTACATATTTCTTTCCTTGCGAATGTTTTTGTCCGTTTTTATCACACCGCCATGCCGGTCGCATTGTGCGTTGTCAGGTTTTACAGTGAACCAGTTTCCAGTGCCGTGCAGAAGTGTATTTTTAAATCATTTTCGAACTGCCCTTTTTGATTTTTTCTTTACAAAATTGTATTTGTAAGGGTCCCCTGTACATCCAGAATTTTTTTTTTTGGATAAGTTCTGAATCACCCTGTATGTCCTCAGAGACCCCTTATGGATGCAGTCAAGATCATAAAAGGCAAGCTTAGCAAAAATATTTTATGTTTGCCATCACATTTGATACACCGTTTTTTTTTTACGGACCTTGACCCAAACTTTCTCTTTCTCTCTCTATCACTCGTCTACATGGTCGCCGTAAGCGTACACCTCCATGTAGTATATGCTCTAAGGTCTGATTTGGTTTCGTCAAAAGAACTGTCCTAGGACTATTCAAATTAGTTCATAAGAATATCTAAGCCAAGACATACTGATAATACAGTTGGGTAACTATTCTAAACTGTTCTATGACTATCCGCTGATAGAACCAAAACAAGCCTCTAATGTTAAATCTCATCAAATGCAGACAATGAGATATGCTACACCTTACTACAGAAAATGCTCCATGCCAACGACACTTATCTTATAATTATAAACATCCTTGCTCCATGCAAAATGAAATCATTCACAGCATTACAGCAATCTATATTACCGCGACAGCTTCTGTTTTGACAGCTGTCAAGATTTTTAAACATTTTTATTTTTTTGATGTGAAACATCATTAATTACCTGGTAGATAATGAGGATTAATATGATTAGAGAAGATATTTGACTATTTTTTCGTAAACTATCGGATTTCTAAATGGTGTAACTAGGTAAATAAAAACAAATAAATAAATTGTCCAGTATTGTATGTTTGCCAAATATTAGTCATTATATGGATGCATTTTTAAACAAAAAATATATTATGCCTTGTGACTTATCTGGCACTATTTATAAAATAAAATTTAGGCAATGTAACCTACAAAATGAAGAATTTATTTTATCTATTTCAGGCTACAATGTTAAGGAGACTTTTGAACACTGTGATCGAAACTACTTCTCAGCCAACAGAAGCTATATTTTATCCTAATCCTTTTACAAAGAAAGAAACGTTACAGTTTGGCTGGTTGACTAACGTTACACCATGTTTCCCAATAAATGCCAAAAATATTACAATTTTGACCGAACCCGAACAGTTTTATAATACTTTACTAAAATTTTGCCGCGATGCAACAAAGAGAATCACATTAGTAAGTCTTTACCTAGGCAATGGCAAGTTGGAAGAGAAGATTGTAGAAACATTAAAAAATAATGATCATTTCAAAAGCAACCATTTAAAAATAAATATTTTATTGGACTACACAAGAGGTAGTCGATTTGAAAATAATTCAAGGACAATGCTACAGCCTTTGTTACTAGAAAATGATTCCAACTGTAAAGTTTCTTTATATCATACCCCGGCCTTACGTGGATTATTGAAAAAATACACCCCTAATCGTTGGAACGAACTTCTAGGACTACAACACATGAAACTATACATTTTTGATGACACTTTAATCATAAGTGGTGCTAATTTATCAAATGATTATTTCACCAATAGACAAGATAGGTATTTCGTAATAAAAGACAAGAGACTAAGCGATTTTTATTCGGGGTTAGTGAGCAGGGTGCAGAGATTTAGTCTGCAAATGGACAGGAACAATAATGTCGGGATGAATGAAGAATGGAAGCATGCACCTTATGAGGGTAATAAAACTGAATTTGTTGAAAAAGCTGGGGACACTATTGAGCAGTATTTGTTGGAAGCCAAAGATGAACAAAACGTGCATAAACAGGAAGGTTTTGGTGAGTGTTTGAACTTTAACTATTAGTCACAGTTAGTGCTGGCAACTGAAATCGGTTTTTTGGATAGTCGGTTAACCGGTTTCGGATAATTCGGATTTTTACGAAACCCGAAAACCGGTTGTTCGATTCTTCAAATATCCGATTATTCAAATAACCGATTATTCCATAATCTATTCAAACATCCGAATAATAGGATTATTTATTTATGGCCAATAACTACATAACACCATAATATAGTCTTTGTGTTATGTAGTTATTGATACAGGCTACATAGTACATACATATTAGAAGGGTTGAACTATTAAGGGAAATACAATTTTTATCTTTATATTTTATCCTGGGTCACAGACACAGACTGATAAAAAAAACAGTCACCCACACCCACAGACCAAACGACCAAATCCATTTATATAATAATAAATTGAAGAATCACAATAACAAGTGCAACTATTTTAACTGGTTTAACATTTTAACTTTTAACATTAGATTTAAATTTAAAATTTAAAATATGCGGATATGTGAATTACATCATATATCTCGTCAGTTTTACAAAGCACCGATTTTCAGATATCCGGTTTTAGCCATTATTCGAGTAACGGGTTATTCGAATAACCGGTTTTGGAATATTCGGTTTTAACAACTATTTGACTAACTGGTTTTATTTGAAATCGGTTTTTACGGAACCCGGTTAACCGGTTTCACTTTTTTCCGGTTTTTGCCAGCACTAGTCACAGTAACTGTAAATATTTAAATATAAAGGGTATTTTTTATATTGGGATTTTCCTTTTACATAGAACTCAATAAAGGTAGCAAATCTTTTAAACAGAAATTTTCAAAATCTTAAAAATAATGGAAAAACCATTTTGAAATAAATCCGGTGAAAAATCTTAATATTCAATTCTTATACAAAAGCTGAATTCTGAAATCCAGTGATCCGGGTTGAAAGTGTACTAACCGAAATATTTCAAAATATAATCCGAAATATATTAATTTATTCCAAATGATTATAGAGTTTCAATGTTCCTATATATTCGAGTCAAAACTTGCAAGAAAGGAATGCAATCTCTTGTATTTCACATACTTATACAGGGTGTCTAACTACGAACTCCATCGATGGATATCTGGTAAATCGCTCTAAGGATTTTTTTGAAATTGTGGTGGTGTGATACGGGTCATGGGACTTCCCAAATTAAAATATTTTCAAGGTCATCATACTTCCGGTTATACCGGAAGTTGATACCAAAATTCAAAGCCATTATTTGAAAAATGTTCACACTTTTTTGAGTTCTATGTTGTGTTAAAAAGGAAACTTACTAACTTAGAAAGCGCTTTGTATTTTAGACACATGGATTTTACCAATGGTACAAATGGGTCAGTTGGGCATTGAACAAGACGCGCAAATTACAGATAAGTTGTTATCTGAAGCACCAAACGGTAGTAAATTGGCTATAGCCACTGGTTATTTTAATCTTACCACCCAGTATATGAATACTTTAATAAAAAAGTCGCAAGCACGGTGTGATATTCTCATGGCTCATCCCAAAGTAAGCATGACGAATAAGTAGTGTTGTAAACCTAGAATGAGTGGCATGACACACTTTAATTTCTACTTTTTTAAATATTGATTTTGTAAATATCTCAAGACTTAGAACATTTTTGAGAAAATTGGAGGATATTTAAGCATTTTCACCAGAATATTAGAAAAAATGAAAACTCATCATTTTGCAATACTTGTCGTGGACAACAAATTTTCAAGTTTTTCGTGTGTGTTTATTTATTCTTGTTTGAGCTTGACAATTGTCCAAAAATAAATTTTTGGCTATTTAATCTAATTTTTTAGGCAAATGGTTTTCTTGGGGCGAAAGGGCCGGCTGGGGGAATACCCTGGGCTTACTCTCTAATAGCACAAAAATTCCAAAAACAGGTTATAAACAACAAGCAGCAGTTTCGAATAAATTTACTTGAATACCTTAGAAACGGCTGGACCTACCATGCGAAAGGGTTGTGGTAAATATTTTCCTCAGCTTTTTAAACCAAACAAAAAAATATTACTTAATTTTTAGGTACTATTCGCCGGATAGTCAATATCCATGCATGACTCTAATTGGTTCCCCTAATTTTGGAGAGAGATCTGTCAAAAAGGATCTAGAAACACAACTGTGTATTATTACGGAAAATGAGGAATTTAGTAAAAGGCTTCACAACGAGTGTAGCAATCTTTATAAATTGGGTTTACCTGCTGAAACCGAAAGACCTATACCGAAATGGGTGCCCACATTTGTGTACTTCTTCAGAAGCTATTTTTAATGTTGATTTTTTCCTTGTTAAATATACATATTTATAAATGTTTTGAGAATAACATTGTTTTTTTTTCTGTTAATAAATATTTTAAAGCAGAGCCAGAGAGTTCTAGAAAAATACATTTTAGAATGGTGAAAATTTAAAAATGAAAAATACTTGGCCAAACTTACGCCACATATTTACAAAAAGTTTCTTACAAACATTTGTCGGAAATAGTTCATTTTCAAAAGATTTTAAGTTACAAACTCCAGATGAGCTGTTCAGGGCCCGAGAACTTATACTTGAAAATATGGGGAAACTGGAAACCACGTGACTTGAGATGGATATACAAGTTGGAGAAAGAGTCAATAGCTGTCGTCACAAAGATTTTGTAGAATAAATTTTGACAATAGCAATTATGAATCATTTCATGTCATTTTTGTTCTTGTTCATGTTTATTGTTTATTGTTGGTTAGGTTTGTCGAGTGTTGGTGTGTGTTTTATTTGTGTTATTAGTGTGTATTTCATTCACATTTATTTATATAACAATAATGTCTGATCATCATATAATCACATTTTTTTATTAATAATAAAATGTTTTGTTTTTTTGTTTTCTTTAATAAAAAATGTGATCAGAGGTAGGTAGTTTTTTTTATGGATATCAACACGACGAAAAATTTAAAGTTGCATAATAAATCTCTATTACAAGAATTAATCAAAGATTGGTTTAGTAAAATTATTTACTTGTTATATTTTTTTATTCACCGTGAAAGCTAATACAATATAGAAAGCACTGAAACTCTATAATAATTTTCACTCTTTTTTTTTCAAAATATGTACTGAAATTTGAAATTTTTTCAACAAACATTTTAAAAAGTTACAGTACCAAAATTATTTCTTATTTTAAGTAGGAAGACTATTAGAGCATTTAAAAGTGTCTTTAATGCTTGAGTGATTTTAATGCTTTTTATCAAATGTACTTATTTTCTCATGGTGACAAAAAAAATTATCTATGTGAATATTATTTTACAAAATTAATTTCTGAGTGATCTGTGTAGGGTGAGATTTGTTATGTAATTTTAAATTTAGCGGCGGCAGAATACCTAAAACAAATATTGAGTAGGTAGGTATATAGTTGTAGAGCGTACAACTAGATGGCGCTCGCATCTTTTACCGGCTACAGGTAATTTAACTCACTGTATTACCGATAATTCCTAGAAAAGGAAAGCAATAGAAGTTGGAGAAAGTGTCGACAGTTAGCGCTGTTAATGACCACGAAATCTGTTCAAGTTTCCTATCTATAGTATCATTTATCTAGGGAGCTGTTTAACGGTTTGTTATTCATAGATAATAATTAATTGTGAGAATTATTTAAAAAAGCCACTTACATTTTACCATTTATTACCATATTTATTTAGAAAACGAAACAAATTTTACTTGAAAATCACGTAAAAATTATTTAATCTTATATTTTGTCTATATTAAATTATGTTACACATAAATAAACAGATTAGATATTTAAAATATTGACTTTAAACAGGTTTCCATTGGTTTATTAGTGAGCTTCATACAAGAGCTTAACACTCTTCATCTAGCTTTATTGAACAAACCAAATACCTATTTATCGTTTTTATCATTTATATCTCTTCCAGAATTTTGACATATATCTAACATATTCTACGGCAATTACTTAAGAATAAGTATTTAAAATAGGTATCAATAAACATTATTTTGTAATTCGCTAGGTTAACTCATGGACGTCCGCAAAAAAATATCAAGTGGGCAAACATAAATACAGTCAGTCCATAAAAAGTAATGCCTATCAAAGAATAGCATATTCTGATTTAATGGCATCTTTGTGCAGAGGGTACAAAGTGCGAAAGTCAGAAAATCTAGCACATAGAGAAATAAATATAATTTTTTATTATTACTGGATTTTACTTTTATCTATGATCCAGCGCCCCTTGCATCTACACGGACGACCATGTGTTGACTGTTCAACAACCTGTCACATATCACAATAAACAGTAGATCAAAAAAAAAATGTTAGTCATAAAATAAACGTCACAAATGAACGTCTGTGTTATGATTTTCATAAATGTATTAATAAGTTGTGCAATAACTAAATAAATCGGGATAGGGTATCTAAGTATTTTCTTATATAATAGATATAATTCCATATATCTATTATTTTGCTGTCATTTGCGAAATTACAAATTTTGATAAGAAAAACACATTTTTAATCAAGGTGAGCTTGTTGTACTTGTTATCAGTTTGTTTAGCAAAAAACAGCAAGTCAGAATGACGGAATGATTTTGCATTTTTTTTTTAATATAATGTTGAGTTTTCTTAGCAATTACTTGCCTAATACAGTCTTTCAAGGTCTAACGGCAGCTTATTTTAGAGGTAAATGAATTACGTTTTTTTTTTAAATAGTAAAGGCTGGCTTTTAATTTAGTTCTATTTACAAACATATTTAAACTAATCAGTTTTTGTTTTGGTTGTAGTTTCAGCGTTGAGACACAACGGACTAAGAGGAACTCACAGCGCTCAGGAAATTATACAGTTAAACAAAATGAAAGTAACAATTTTGCCCGCGTTATCGGACAATTATATGTATCTCGTAAGTAAAAATATGATGTAGCACTACTATACTGAAATGTACTTTTTATTTATATGAATTTTGACTTATACATAACTTTAAATAGTTGAAAAATTCTGTTACATAATTGTTTACATTTTTATGATTAAAGAATTTATTCCAACAAGAACATGTTACATTGACCTTGGATAATACTTGCTCAGTTAATGGGGGTTTATAAGGTCAATAATTTATATTTTCTTAGATAAGCGATGAAAATACAAAACAAGCAGCTATCGTCGACCCAGTGGAACCTGATACGGTGCTACAAGCTGTGAAATCTGAAGGGGTTAATTTAACGAAAGTCTTGACAACGCATCATCACTGGTACATACTGTAATTAATGTTTCCTTATGTGTACAATTTAAATGTTTTATTTAGGGACCATGCTGGAGGTAATGAGGAACTAGTCAAGAAATCTCCCAACGCTCTTCAAGTATTCGGAGGTGACAAAAGAATTGGTGCTCTAACGAATGAAGTGAAGAATGGTGATAAATTCTCTATTGGTGATATCAATGTGGAATGTTTGTACACTCCCTGCCACACAACGGGCCATATTTGTTATTACCTAACTGCTCCCGGGCAACCACCAGCGGTGTTTACAGGTATTGAAAAAAAAAGTGCTCTTTAAAATGTTCCGAAAATAATTAAAAATTCATTTTAGGTGATACTTTATTTATTGGTGGATGTGGGAGGTTTTTCGAAGGTACAGCAGAACAAATGTACTCTGCTTTGGTAGAAAAACTGGGGAATCTTCCAGATAATACACGGGTGTTTTGCGGACACGAATATACCTTGCAAAATTTGAAATTTGCCAGATATGTAGAAAAAGAAAACCAAGAGATACTCAAGAAGATAACGTGGGCAGATGAGAGAAGAAAACAGGGGTTACCAACTGTAAGTATTAAAAGAAGGTAGATACAGTATAACCTCCAAATCGCAGACACCCACAGTGTTATTAACCCTTTGGATTTATCCGTAGATCTACAGATTTTTGGCATAATCTCAGATTTTCCGATAAATACGATAAATCTGCAGATTTTATTGTTTTAATAAAATTGTCTTTGTTGTCGTTCTTAATTTAATTCAACGATTTTCCTAGAGTTTAAATGTTAGTCAAACGATTTTGTAACGAGCCAAGTCATCAATCATATGGATTTGAAAAATCGGTTTATGCGCATAGACCTCCATGATCATACGATCATGATCAGCTGATTCCACAATAATCCATGTGCATTTAGATTAGTAGAACTACATAATTCAGAACTATCACCATCCTTTCTTAAATAATCCAATTGAAAGAAGATAATGAAACTTTTTAAATCCTATTCCGTGTTGCACGGTTTTTCTGTACCCATTCCTCATTTTTAACAAGATTTCCTGTCCAAATAATTTAAATTCCAAACATTATTTTTGTTTTTCCTTTTGTTTCTTTTACAAAATAACTCGTATATGAATGTGACACATAATTTTTGTGTTGTTTAGTCATAAATAAAAAGGTGTTGTAAATACCATTTGAAAAAGAGTGTCCGTTTAATTGTAGACAGTTTAGAGGGCTTTTTGTTGCCCGTGGTAAATTTAACACAGTGTGCCACAAGGAGAGGCAATCTGATGTGACATTAATAATTCAGGGACTTTACTTTAAGACTAATAGTGTTTACTAGGACTGTGAATTAATTTTGAGGGATTTTTTTTGTAAATTCAAGTTTTTTTTTGCAGTTGAAGCAATTGTTTACAGGTGAAAAATCGCTGTTCGACATCGTTCGGCTTCAATTCAAATGGCAACCAATTTCCTTGCTTTTGAATCATACTGAGTGCATTTTAACATTTGAAAACTGTTGTACGATCAATATTTAACGATTCAATAAGTTCGTCTTGCATTTGACATGAATCTTGGTTGAGTAATACTTTCAATTCCTCATCTTCGAACTTTTTCTGTTCACTAGGGAGTTCTTTGTCAACTGTATCGAAATCACGATTTCTTGAATATTGAACCCAATACACACATTTTTATCGTTGGAGTATGTTCAAAAAAGTATTTTTTCAAGTGTTTATATTTCGGGTTTCTTCAATCTTTCTATTTTTCACAATTTTTGCTTCAGAATGAAGGTTTTCTTTCCAATTTTTGCTGTTTTTTTTTCAAAATTGGCTGAATAATTTTTGTATCGTTCTCTTCAGATACTTTCTTCTGAATTGTTAAATCTATAAGCCAACACATTCACATAAAATGATATGAGACAAGTCTGGGACTGCCTTAGTGAACATTCAACGCATTAAATAAACATATATATCAGCAGGAGTATAAAAATGTACTCATTCAAGAGTCACGGAATTGGATTTAATATGGTGCCAATTTTAACATCCCACAAATATCAGAGACTACCTAGGGCCAGTTTCTTCACTGTCGGGTAAATTTGTCTGTCAGTTAAATCTAAGTCTGTTACTTTCTTATGCACGTGTATTTTATGAGACAAATATAGATTTAACTGGAAGATGCATTTATCAGAAGATGAAAAAACCCGACAATAAAGATGTAAATGAATAAACTAATAATCACGAAATTAAAAGCAACTGACAAATTTTGATCACAAAAATTTCATATTATTTCCAGGTTTTTAGGAAGATTTGAAAAATTTTCCAGGCAAAAATATGAGTTCTGTATTAGTGTCCACTTTTCAATCACTACCATTTTCCTAATTTGTTGTCTATCTTCAAGTTAATATTTAATAAAGCATGATTATTTAAAAAATTATGCAGTGGCTACCATAAAGTTTGCATCTTGGTATTTCCTAAATAAGAAACATTTACAGTTCATACAATATTTGTTGAGATAAATTCCAAGAAAAGGATAAGCCAATAAAGTTCTGTTATTGGAATTACTGTAATTACCATGGCTGGGGCGTGCCTTGAAATTTTCCCCATTATTTTCAGAATATTAAAATATATATAAGATAAATATGTATCAAGTAGATATATTTATCTAAGCATTTACCAATAGATGTTAATGGGAAAAATTTTGTTGATTTGAGTTCTCTCAGCTATAAAGTTTGGTTTACATAATTTAGGGCAGCCTGAATATAATAAAAATGGAAATAGATTTGTTAACAGAATAATTTATTGATACCCACTGATTACAACTGGAATTTAAAAAAATTTCAGGAACATTTGAGAAATTCCTTTTCCCGACATTTCTACGTCTATGAAATTCTCTAATGAATCCAGGTTTTCGTAGTTAATATAATATAGTTTTAATTATTATTAATACAGTGTACTCTTTATAACATCGTTCGTTATAACGAAAAACTTCCTATAACATAGAAATTAGGTCAATTTGGTTGGTTTACGTTAAAACCCATATATTACTACTCTTTATAGAGCAACAGCCATTCTCTATTACGAAGAAATATGTTCATATTTAGACGCCAGCAGATATTTACAGAAGTATTTAATAGTGTAATTGTTTTTATAATCAGCTTACAAAAGGTTCCGACTAAATCTTTGAGGTGCGTAAATTTCTAAGACCCTGAGGTTGTAAACAACTGCCTTGCTTTTGTTATTGCCAATTGTCTCGGAACACGTGTGCCATTACTCTTGGGTTACATTGTTTCTAGGAAATTTTGCACTCAGTTACTAAATGCACTAGGCACCTATTGTGTATTATCAGTCGTAAACCTACTTTGAAACTGTCAAGATGGCCAGTAAAAGAAAAGCATTATGTGTTAACGAAAAAGTTTGATACGTGAGATAGAAAAAGGAGAAAAGGAAAGTGATGTTGATAAAATACAAAACAAATATTGGCATAGCAAAAAACGTCAGGCAAAGTTAACAGAATATGTGTTTGGAATAATTTAATTACCTATTGAAAGTACATAATAAAATTGAAAATTATTGTAATTGGTGAAATTTGGTTATTTTTCCTTCTTCCCTCCATATAACAAAAACTCTATAATGAAAAAAATCCCTGGTCCCTTAAAATTCGTTAAAAAGGGTTTACACTGTAATAAACTAGTTTTAAAAGGACTTTTTTTAATTAAAACTTTTAAGGTACCTTCAACTATTGGTGAAGAAAAGAAATTTAACCCGTTCATGAGGGTGATGATGGGTGCAGTACAAAGCCATGCCAGTTGTAGTGACCCAATTTCCACCATGCAGTCCATAAGACGAGAGAAAGATAATTTTAGAGCATAATGTATACAAAAAAGATATTTATATTAAATTCAGAGTTTATTAAAAATTTTGTGTTTATTCATTTGGTAAATTTTTTGTAATAATGGTGCGACATAATTCACGCTAAGGTGTTAGCATTTTTTGTAGGTATTTTTATGTTAAAAGTATCTATAATATAAATAATAATATAATAAAGTAGTTTTGTTTTTCTACTTTTATTTGTTTTATATTATTTTTTGACCTAGGAGAGTATCCCAAATAATGTAAATAAAAATGTTGGAATATTAATTTTTCATCCGAATTTATTAAAACAATTTATTTTTAAAACTGTCGAGTAAATGAAACAAAATTCATATATTAGTTTATTGCAAGTTATTGACTTAAACTACATACTATAGTCTAGAATAATGTAGACTTATTTTTTCATATTATACTCTTCCATTTCGGCTGCATATTTTTCTTTAGATCTCTCGTACCTGTCCACATACACCTAAAACAATTTTCCTTTTATAAAATAGGAAACAAAAGGCGAGCTGTATATGGAGTATCTCATTCATGCTTAAAAAAAACTGGGGCGGGTTTCTCTTAGAAAAATTGTGGGGTTAGTTCATACAGGTATAACGTTTTTGCCTTTATGAGATACAGGGTGTTAAAATGTTACTTTGAAGGGGAACTTTCTTAATTGTGTTTAATTCAGCTAAAGATTAAGAATAAGGCCCTTCAAAGTAACAACATTAACACCCCCGCCATTTTTCTAAGAGGAATTCACTCCCCAGTTTCTTTGAAGAATATAAGGGACACCGTATTTCAGCATGCCATTACTATTTTCTTAAAGATGACATTTATAATGCATTCATTCACCTTTTTGTCAGGAATGGATAACGTTTTCCACTTTATAGCCAGCTGCCTAGTTAACTCTTGTTTCGTAGGTTCCATTTCTCCGGGCTTCAGCTCGGCGCTAATTTGTTCCATTAATATTTGCCTCTGCTCTTGACAGAACTGAAAGAATGGATTCGAAGGTCTCTTTGGAGCGTTTGGATCCCTTTCAGATTTCACTGTCTTCCTCTTGGATGGTTTCTTTGCCTTTGATTTCTCTTGTTTCTCTTCTAATAAAACTTAAATTATTCTGAAATCTAAATGTACAATAACTGGCATACCTTCGTCAAGTTTTTCTTCCTTTATTTTGTCTTTCAGCATCAAATGTGCTACAGATCTTTTATCATCCTCTTCTTCTAGTGCCATATCTAAATTAGGAATGACAGTCCAGTCTTCATCGAAATTATTTAGTAACCTTTGTTTGAAAAATCTTACATCTTTTAGTCTACGCTTAGTTATTTTATTGACTTCTTGTATCCTAAGATAACTGAATTTAAGAAAGTATTCATGTAATTACCTAGACATTACCTAAACACTAATATTTCATTAGATCTTTGAAGTTGCGAGCATTCTTCTAGTAGCAGTTTGTATTTCTTATAGTAGAGATCATTTTCTTGATTATCGACGTACACTCCATCGTTTTCAGACTCATCAGACATCATTTTTACAACTTTTGCCAGAAAACATAAAGCGCTGTATTGAAATTTCAATTACAATTACAGTAATATAACCTAATTTAAACATCCACTGACAAATGACAAGTAAAAGTTCAAAAACAAATGATTCTGGGCGCGTTCGAATGAAACATTAGGCGTCTCTTTCTAATGCATGCAATAAACTGAATGCTATCTACTCGCATTAGCTAAGTTCTTCCGCTCATGATCTTCGGATCACAATAAATTTGAGCATCTAATTGGCTTAATTTAAAAAACCGCCTAGAACTTTTAAATTCAGCCAATAAGTTGATCGCTTAATACTGAGGAAATAACCGCTATACCTAAAGGTCGCTAAAGCTAAGGTAACTTGTGCTCTACAATCGCCTACCACTGAATATGGAATATAAAATTGTTCGTAGTTGAAATTCAAGGGTCCCACACAGATCTCAATCAATATGATAGCTGTAGTATTTTATTGTAAACGTCAACAATTATAATTGAAAATTATAGTATCAACTGGATTTATAGAGCTTATATTAATGAATTCAATAATGATATTTAAAACTCTCATTACTTTCAAGGAAATATTTATATAAAAATATCCTTTCTTCAGTTCAGTTCTGCGCACAGTTTGAGTACTGCAGAAATACATGTACGTACACTTGAGCATGCGTATATCAAAATCATTTTCCAGTCCGTTCTGTAACGAGCATCTTTGTTTTTCTAGTTTCGTTATCGTTTACTATCAGAAAGAAAATTCGTTTACCCGGAAGTCATTTGCAAAATTACACATATTACACACAGTGACGCAAGGCCAAGGTCAATTCGCGTGAAAAATATTTAAATCTTGTGTTGTTTTAAACACTGTCCCTTTAATTCCAATTTTTCAGAGCTCAGGAAAATCGATCGTTTTTTTGTGACGTTTCTCCTCAATGGTTATGGTTTTTTAGCATCGATTTCTGTTATTTTTTCTCGGTAAGTAGACCGCTTTTTTATTGCTGCTTGTAGGTTATGTTAAAGTTTTTCCCTAATGCATTTTAAACGCAAAAAAATAAATGTATGCAACCTAATATAGGTACCTGTTCCATGTACATCCAATTAGAAATTTCTCGAGTTCTTAACGAGCTTCTAGAACATTTCCTCTTGTGTCAATAATTATTGAAACTAATGACGGGTTAACATTTTTAATTGTTGTGTAGGTAATTATACATAATAACGTTATGTTTGTATACCTACGTACCTACATACAAAAGTTGTTAATCACGAAAGTATAATTTTGTAATTGTAAAAACATTTCTTTTTAATTAAAATTCCTAATTAAAATATCGAAATTATAAATAACCACAACCACATATTGATTAATACACACACCCTATCATAGATAAGAGATTTATATAGAGAACACCCTATCTTATTTTATTAGATAGGTACTATAGGTACCTATGTACGTGTAAATATTTTTTGATTAAATACCTTTCTTATAGTAAACACATTAAAATTGAATGACAGGTATGTTCGTCATATTTATAAATGAAATTTAATACTATGGATGTTTAAATAAAAAATACGTTATTAACGAATGTATTTTTTGGCAATATTTGTCGTATATATTCGTTAATACTTAATTTGATTTTTTTTGTTCTCCGTAAGCAATTTTTTTAATTTTAAGTTTTGATTATCGACAATTTATCTTCGGCATTTTAAAATGTGCAATGTAAATAATAAAAAAATACCAAACAGTGACGAAGTGATGTAATTTTTTTTGTTTCTACCCTATAGAGTGTGAAGATCTAAACCCAGTGTTAGTGAAACTATATAAAAAAATGGTTCCAGTCCCAAAAACTCATTTACCAGCAACTAGGATAAGCACAATCATGAAGAGTTCATCAGACGTTGAAATGGTCAATAAAGAATCCATTTTTCTTATGTGTAGGGCCGCCGAACTCTTTATCAAACACTTGGCTACTGAAAGCTATAACACGACTGGTAATGGTAAAAAGTTAGATTACAAAAATTTAGCCCAAATCGTACATTCCGACGACAAATATGAGTTTCTGAGGGATATTATGCCGAAAAAAATTACCGTTAGAGAGTTTAAAAGGCTGATGGCAAAGAAACAAGCTGAAGAGGGAGGAAAAAAGGATGACAAGATGTCGTCTTCTTCGGAAGACGATGATTCTTCTTCGTCCACGTCCTCGGGAGACGATGATAGCAGTTCCGAGAGTGAAGAAAGTAACGCGAGTGCCTAATTTTAGCCGGTTTGTTTTGATTTTTAACTCGAAAGTTTTAGTTTATAAGATATATTTTATTTTAGGATATACATAGTTTTGTATTATTTTATTAATAAAATCATTATACATTACCTTTTTCTAATTACTGGTTCTATAATGAAACTTTAGTAAAGATTTTGAATATCATAATTATTACAAGATTCATTTACACCAATAATGTCTTGATTTAATTTCCGTTTCCATACGATTATACATACAGGGTGTTCCTAAATAAGTGTCGCAACGGAAAACTGTAAATTCCTCTTGAAAAAAGAAACATTTTTTTCCTCTTTCATTTTTCTCTCCGGGTTTTCGTTTTCGAGATACACGGTGTCAAAACTTTAATTTTGTTTTAGTTTTTCGCCAATATCTTAGGAATCGTTTGAACTACAGGACTGAGCTTTTGTACACACATTACCACTATTAATAGCTACTTTTTCGCACCCTTCTCGAATTCATTGGACGTGCCAGTGGTGGAGATTTTAAGGTATCGTAAGGGTTTTTCCCCCCCTAAATTTTACGCCACTGGAAAAATTGACTTTTGACAGCAAATTCTAAAGCGCCAATGAATTTTACACAATAAGAGTTCTCTTGGTTCATTGCTCTAAAGTCAACCGTTTTCAAGAAAAATGACTTTTTATGAACAAAAGCAAACATTTTGCTAACGTTTCGAAAATCTTTTGTAATTCAAAAAATAGGTAGTAATAATTAACAATTTTAACGAAATTTAACAACAGATAGGATTTTAACTTTTTTTTATCAATTTGGCGAGTAAAATTTACAGAAACTGTTCAAAATTACGTCCGTTGGCTTGAATGCACGCATTACATCTTCTAATCATGTTTCTTTCTGCCGCTGCGGCTTCACCTCTATCGGTCAACTTTTCGATAGTATTGACATGGAACGTTAGCAAAAATGTTTGCTTTTGTTCATAAAAAGTCATTTTTCTTGAAAACGGTTGACTTTAGAGCAATGAACCAAGAGAACTCTTATTGTGTAAAATTCATTGGCGCTTTAGAATTTGCTGTCAAAAGTCAATTTTTCCAGTGGCGTAAAATTTAGGGGGGGAAAAACCCTTACGATACCTTAAAATCTCCACCACTGGCACGTCCAATGAATTCGAGAAGGGTGCGAAAAAGTAGCTATTAATAGTGGTAATGTGTGTACAAAAGCTCAGTCCTGTAGTTCAAACGATTCCTAAGATATTGGCGAAAAACTAAAAAAAAAATAAAGTTTTGACACCGTGTATCTCGAAAACGAAAGCCCGGAGAGAAAAATGGAATAGGAAAATAATGTTTCTTTTTTCAAGAGGAATTTACAATTTTCCGTTACGACACTTATTTAGGAACACCCTGTATATCATTAGATAAACTTCCGCTAATACGATTTATTTCTCCTTAATTAGGTACTTTCACCATAGACCGATAAAAAAAATTAACTCCCTTTAAGACGCAAAAATGACAAAGGTATAATAACGTGTGTAGGACATAATTTAAAAAATCTGTATTTTATCATTCAGATCTCTAAAAATTTTCGAAATATTAAAGTTTTTGATCTTTTCTCAAGATGTTTTTTGGAGTTATTAAAACAAACAGACTATAGTCTGTTTAGAAATGAAAGAGAGTAATAAAAGCTTATTATGTATGCAAATCGTAAATAAATGTAGTACTGGTGCTTATATTCAATATTTTTATATTATGCATTATCCGTATAGATGAGGTGTACTTTTAAAAAAACTTTGTGTGACCGGGTTGTACTAAATTGTAGCAGGTAGCTAAAATTTAATCCCCGACAATCCGTCTTTGTCTATGCCGCTTCAATTTCTCGTTCCATTTCTCTTATAAGTAAACAATATAAAAACAGCATTTCAAAACATGAGGCTACTTTAAGCATCATAACCGGGTTAAGAGGGTTTTTAGTAGGTAATTCAAATAAAATTATTCAATATTATTATCAAAATATTTATTTAAATTTAATGAAAAGACTTTTATTCCACACAAAAATATATGTATTTTGAAAATTTAAATTATGGTGAGTAAATGTAGTGTATAAATGTACAATAAAGAAAATAAAAAAGTAAGTATATTAAAATTCATCCTCTGAATATTCTGATGAATTATCTTCGTCTCCTAGATTGATAACGATAGGTTCCACAGTAGCGTCAATTAAATTATCGAGTTCCCACATTTTCTCTTCTTCTTTTTGTACATGATGTATACATCTTTGCCAGTTATCTGCAGTTACTCGTTCCAAGGAATTTTTTAACAAAATTTTCATGTCACTTAATTTAAACGTCGTATTATTTCGCGCTACATCTCCTTTTACCTGCGCCCAGACTAATTCGATTGGGTCAAGTTCACAGTTTATAAGGTGGTAACCGTAGTACCGTTATTTGGCGATTCGTTGCCATTTCATCGATAACATATATTTTCTGATCTTTAAGATTGACAAGTGTCAAAAGTTCCTTTTTCACCATATTTGTTTCAAAAGAAATGTTTTTTCCGGATAACCATTAAATTATATCGGCTTTCCTCCAAGCAGTCGTAGGCGTCCGCTCGGTCTGCCGTGAATGGTAACTGGCATTATCCATGACAATTACAGACCCCGGAGGAATAAGATAAAATACTCTTCGAAAACATCTGCGTTTATGTCTTCGTGATAGACACCTGTATTTTTAGATTCAAATAAAAGTAAACAGCCATCTACAAAACCACTGGCACTACCTATATGTGTCACTATTAATCTTCACCCTTTACCTGAAGGTGCCTTGAACCCTGTTGAAAGTCCATCCAAAAATGCTTGTCGAAAACTGTTTACATTTTTATCTTGCCATACTTTTGTTACAGTATATCCCTCGTTGACCCAAGTTTCGTCTAGATAATAAATATTCCTCCCTTCGTCACGGAATTTACTAATTGATCTCAAGTAGGATCTTCGCCAACAAATAATTTCATCTATATCGATAAGAACTGACTTCCTGTTCTGCTTTTCCCAGCAAAAATTCAACTCTCGTAAGACGGCCCATAATTTGCTTCTACTGATTTTTGGCAAATCGTTGTCCTCTGAAAGTTCACTTAAAACTTTGTTTGGTATTTCTTTTTTAAAATAAAATGAGTGTACTTTTCTGCGAATGACATTTTTGAAGAAATCATCTATAACGAATTTTGACCTCCCTGTAGATGATTTTGGGGGATTTACAGTATCTTGTTCATTTTTTGTTTCCTTTAAAAGTCTGTAGATAGTAAATTTTCCAATCCCTGTCATTTTTGTTAGCATTAGTGTTACCCGACAATTACCTGAAACGAAATATTACCACGCCCATGGCCGGTTCTTATCTCGGGGTTTTATTACTCTCTTTCATTTCCAAACAGACTATAATGTCAAAGAGTGTATAGTCTTTACGATCTCAATTGAAGACCAAAGAGCTAGGCAGTATGTATGTACCAGGTTCGGTCGCTACGCAGCAACTGGGCATTGAAATGTATGAAAAACTTGTTCCCATATTTATTTAGCCATAACCATATACAATTTAAAAACAAACGTTAATGTTGGTTTTGACTCTACATTTTTTGACATTCATTTATTTAATTGGATCTAAAGTATATCGGAAATACTTTTTTTAAATAATTTTTCTAATTCTGGTTTACCAAGATGTCAAAATATATATTAAAAACCTGAATTTTTAAAGACAAGTTATAACAGCGACGTAGTGACAAAATATAAATCAAATCAAAATTAACACAAAAACAAGAGTACCATTTTTGTCAAAATGATTCCTAAGGACTCAATGATTCCTTAAAAATGGGAAACTTTTTAGTGTATTACCTACTACAAAATGTATTTGGAAGATGCAATAGATACAATACAGCAATACATATCCTGTTTAAACTTAAAACTGTGGGGTAAGTTCCTCTTGGATAAATAGTGAAGTAGTTCATATCATTATTCATATCATTAACACTCGACTATCTTGAGCATTTCGCAGCGCGTAGTTTGAACTAAATTAATTATCCGGGGTATATATAGTTATAGATGATTTTATAATCATATATTTTTTTAGATAAATATATAAACTTATTGTATTTATCTTTATTTGTAACTGCATATTTTTTGAAGCATTTTTGATGGCGCAAAAACAATTTTTTTTTCAAGCCCCGAATTTTGCCGCCCCTGGGAATTTGCAGCTCTGGGCACTAGCCTCTAGTGTCCCTAGTGTAAAATCCAGCGCTATTTTGATGGAGCTCCTTATAATATAGCCCAAAAATTTTATGATATTTAAAGGCGTTCCTAAAAACCCTTTGATTTTTTATTTAAAATATATATCTACAAAACTTTAAAAGACAGTTTGTAGATATATGCTTATATGTTTCCTACTCCAATTTACCATTATTTAATTTTTTATAAACATTTTTATTGAAAAAAAAAAAATGATTTTTTTTTTGGTTCTTTGCTTATAAAACTCAAACTAATGAAGCAATCTGAATGCTATAAAGAGACAATTTGTAGAAGAGAAGATAATGGAAATACGAATAAAAGGAGAGGTCGGATCCAATCGGATAATTATAAACGAAGAAAACCCGGAAAAATCGGGAAATTTAGCATTTTTAAAAAAATTTATTACTCGGCCATTTTTTAAGTTGTAGAGCTGATCCTGTGTACAAAAGTAGTGAATTATATGTACGTTAAGTGTGCATAAAGCATAAAATATATATTGTGTATTGATTTTACTGTTTGTTGCAAAATATAAACAAAAATTCAATTTCATAATGAAAGATTTTATCTTAGCGTACGGCCGTGGTGGGAAGTTATTGCTTCAGATTCAGATAGAGGCTAGAGACACGAACAACTACTGTCAGCACATCGTCGTATAGTTGTTACGATGTCAATTGGAACCTGTAAATCTTAAAGCACATGACCGTATGTACTTCTGAAATATCTTCGTATGCTTTGACCATGATGTGTCTCGTAATTTATACTCGAATAGCAATTCGGCGAGTCCAGTATTGGTAAACTTGTCCGCCTGATGTAGAATTGCCGG